TCAACAGATAGTTGATTCTTTGCAGTTTTATATGAGTGCAAACATCATGATTCCTTGCTTTGTGGTATGGCTAAGAGCTGTTGACCAAGTATAATAAGTATTAGGGGAACTTAAGAAACTTAATCTTTTGCTTGTGGTAGCAGTGGTACTTGACCCAAGGTATAAAATGATATTTGCAGTTTGCTTTTGAGGATATGTTTCCTGAGGCTACACAACGTGAAGCTATGACAAAAAGGTCTCAGATGTCTTATATCGTTTGTATGATCATTATTCAAGTGGGGTTGACACATCTCAGACTCAAAGTCAGAGTCAAAGTCAGACACAAAGCAAGTGAAAGTAGTTTGACTCAATCACTTGGATCAGATCGTAGGCCTTTAACTTTCTTAAGTTCTAGGTCTAAGGCTTCATTTCAAAGATTTCTCGCCCAAAAAGAGACTGAGATTCAAGCAGATAAGTATGCAGAGGTGGACAAGTATTTGCATGATGAGTTAGCTGAAGCACTTGATCCAAATTTTGACATGTTAACGTGGTGGAAAGGAATTCGGCTAAATATAAAGTCCTTTCATTGATTGCACGTGATGTATTGGCCATGCCTGTTCCACTGTGCTTCAGAACTACATTTAGCACAGGAGGCGTGTAATTTGATGATTCTAGGAGCTCCCTATCTCCAAAGATGGTCGAGGCACTAATTTGTGCCCAAAACTGGCTATCTCCATCAACTGCAAAATTGAAGGTTGTTGACGTTGATGATTTTTAACGATACAGAGCAAGCGGTGGAAGGTAATATCATTTTTTATATTGATTATTTCTTTTTATATAATATTAACTTTTCGTTTATCTATATTTAAATAATTTTTGTTTATATTATGTTTATTGTTTTATTTTCAGAAGAATCATTGGCTTCAAATATCTCAGTTGAAGAGGAAGAGCAATGACTTAAAGTTGAGTTATCCTTGGGGATTAAATTTGTTGATTCTTGACTTGTTGTTGCACTTATCACTTGGAATTACTTGTCTTTGTTGAGCTGTATTTGTTGAATTGTTTCTTGTTTGTCTTTTGAATGTTGCTGCTGAAATGTTCTTCTGACTTGATTAATTTGATTTTCTGTTATTGGTTTTTTTTCTTTTAGTAGGAAATCTTGGTAGTTCCAAAAGCATTCTTTTTCTTGAATTTTTTTTCTACATGACTAAGCATATTCCTTATGGGGAGATGGCGGCATCACTAATTGAGACTACATTGTATGAAGAAGGTCAAGAAAAAGTGGCAGGTTTAATACCTTGACATAGTATAGCTTTGCTTACAATAAATTTGTTTCCTCTAATTGGTTTCTTTCTTTACCATAGCAATTTTTAAGTATCAGGGTTATGAATTACAGGGGCACGCTAAAAGCAGAGGCAATCTTTCTTTGCCACTTATAATTGCAGGGGCACGCTAAAAGTAGCTTTCTTTCTCAAACTTTAATGTGTTTTTACAGTAATTTCAGTTCTACAATTAATGATAAATTAATTATAGGAATACTTTAGGCAAATAACAAGACTGAATCTTTTTATTTCAATATGATTTTAACAGGGAAGGAATTTGAAGTGATGGAGAATAGGGAAGAATCAAGTGCCGTTCAAATGGAAGCAGTATGAGGTAATTTTTTCTCTCCAAATCTCCCATAAAAGTAGGACATTGTTAAGAATATTTTCAGAAAGAAAGATCTATGGGTGTTGAGTTGTGAACAAAATTTAATTTATATGTTTAATTCTTCAGTCTGTCATTACTTCTATGATTAATCATATTCATAATGAAATTTGCATTAAAATTTTTTGGGGTTCTAATTAATGTAACATATGCTTATTCTTGTCAATTATAAGTTGGAAGATGTAATAATCTTTGTTGATGTGCATTCGGGACGTCCCGGTCCCGTCCCGATCCCGTCCCGACTCCTTTCGGGACAGGACAACTTCCGGACGGGACGGGACACACGGGACAAATTTTGAGTCCCGATCATTTTCGGGACGGGCCACAGACGAGGGTGTTCCGGTCCCGTCCCGTCCCGTGAACACCCCTAATTAGAACCATGAGGGACAGACAGGATCCTCATGGCATGATATTTAATTCAGGTCATGAATCAAGAGGGACAGACATAATCCTCTTGGTCATATAAATACTTTTAATAAAAAGGATTAGAGTTTACATGCTTCACAAAGAAGATATGTCCTAAGTTGGCGCAAGATACATTGTATAATCCAAATAAGAAGCAAACATAAAAGATGGTGTGTCATACACCATAGTTACACCTCTGGTGCTTTCTCGACCGGACTCGCTCCTGTAAAAATGTTAACCACGGGGAATGAGACTTAAAAGTTTCCAGTAACCAAAAATTAATATGTAATGATGTATGCGGATGTAACTAATCATGCGATTGCTAGTGGGCACACAAAATATTTAAATCGAACAATATTTTCAAACACCGAACAAGTATTATTTTGCACGAGACTGCACCTTATATCCTCCTTTCGCCATGCTCGGACGCCAATCACCACCCGGCCAAAGGTGGAGTTGGACCAAGCGACACGCCACTCATTGGGTCCAATGAGGGCTTACCACGTGGTAATAATTAACCGAACAGAAATTCCCATTAACACCATATATTAAAATACCCTGACAAGTCATGCATCATTCAAATATCCAAACAAGAATATATCCGAACAATAATATCTCATCATGATAAACAAAAATAAATTTTTAACCCACTTGGCAAAATTTCAAACAAGTATATACAGTAGTTATTTTCAATAATTCATAATTTTTCCCAAACAACAAAACAACACATAACCATTCACAAAAACAACCATCACACACATTAATAATGGTTACCTTGTGTCTTGAATAACAAGTTACCCTTCACAACTCCTTGTTCACCACTATCTTTGTCAATATAATCTACATAATTATTTCACAATACTATATATTAATTTTACATTAAAATAAATAACTCTAATTTAAAGAGTTAGAAAGTCTTAGATCTATAATCCATATTAATACTAATTTAAGATTTATGCCTCATTTAACTTCTCAAATTCTTTTTTAAAATTTTCGTACCCTATAAACTATTTTTTATCCTCAATTCACTTCTAGTATCACAATTTCATCCTTCTATATTCTAAAAATGCGTTCCAAAATAAATTAAAAATTTTAGAATTATCCTGAAGCCTCAAATCACCTTTCTGTAACCTCAAAAAGACCTATTCATACTTAAATAATATTTAATAATCATAGGTTTATCCCTACATCTCAGATTCCACATAAATTCAACCATATAGATCTAGATTTAACTCAAAAATTCTAAATATGTTTCAACCTTCAACCTCAAAAAAAAATATGATTAATATTTATATCCCTAAGAGTTTTAACCTATATTTTTAATTTATCATATCATCAGATTAACTATCCTATAGAAAAATCTTAATCAAATATTTACTCTATCCTACAAAAATTCATATCACTAGAAAGCTAATAGTATTTAGAAAATAACTATAAAATTAATTTTGTAATAAATAAATTTTTAATGCTAATCTAAACAGGAAAGTTAGAACATACCTGAAGAAAAAAAATAATCCTCCCTTGCAAGAAGACGCCGAGCAACGTGAGAGGAAGAAGAAAAATAATATAAAAATGGGATTGTGGGTCCTAAAATTATATTAAAAAAAACTATAGGTTTGAATTTAATTATTCAAACATTTGGGCCATTACTTGCAATTTTCACAAATTGCATCTTGGGCCCTTAGTTGCAATTTTCACAAATTGCAATAAATAATTCCTTATGCTTCCTCCACCATGCACCTCCTCTTTTTATACATGAGGAGGTGCCTTTCATTCCCACATCTAACCGATGTGGGACTAAACCCCATCCCCTTTTTTTTTTACTTTCTTTTCTTTTCTTTTTTTTTTAACTCTCACACACACATTAATAATAATTTTTTTAAATCTTAAAATTATATCTTAACAAAATATTTCTTATATAATTTTAAAATTAAGTTTTTAATTCATAATTAAATGCCTACCCATATTATTATTTTCAAATAACCTCAAATAAATAAATTCCTATTATTATCATCATTTAAAAAAAACTTAAATTTCATAAATTTTTTTTATCTAAAAATTAGGATGTTACAATAAGGAGTGTCAGAACCAACATAACGGAAAGGATAAGTGGGTGCACCAGTTGTTTTTTTTTTTTTTAAAGGAAAAAAATGTAAATATAGGTGGGTAAATGGGTGTTATTGATAATTGCTTTTAAATAAAAAAAAAAAGGCAAGGAATGCACTGCACGCAATTCTGACCTCACGAAAGGGACTAAGTGCATTTTAGATTAACTTTCAACTTTAGTTAGAATCAGTCAAACTAAAGTTAGGATATAAAAGCTCATTTTGTGTTGTTGGATTAGGAAAAAAATTTCAATCTCAATTAGCCATAACCGAGCATTTTTTTGGAAGCCCAAAGACGTGGGTTTAGCATCAGCGTTAATGTTAGAAGTCGTTGGAAGCATTAATGATGTGTTAAATTTTTTATGCTTTCTCTCTCCTCTTATCTATCTATCCACGAGGCTGTCTGATTATTTTATCTTGCTGTGCATGGTATTTTGCTCCTCCCGTGACCTCCTGAGCTGCACCTCTAGATCTACTTCACCTTCCTCTACTTCACCTCCGGAGCTCTACATCCGGGACCTAACCTCAGTCAATCTCCACCTCGGTTGAAGCACTAAGATCTCTACATTGAAGCACCGAGATCTTCACCTTCCGATCTTGCATCCAGCATTCCCTACTTAGAAGTGGTTTCTCCACATTACAGAACAATTTGATGCAGTATTCTACTATTTAAGGACCATGATCAACAAATGCAACTCTTCATGGATGGCGAAACTAACGGATAACGAACATAGAAAAATGCAGAGCATCAGATGATGAAGAACAAGAAGAAAGCTCAAAGCACGATAGCAAGGAAGGCAAGGAATGAGACAAAAGGACAATCGACAAGGAGTAGCTCCGGCAACGGCAACCTCAGATCTGGTGATTTTGCTTAATTCTTGCAAACACCAACTAGAGCCAGCATCAGTCTTTGATAATATAACTATTGAAATTTTGGAACTTTTGATTGCTTGGAGCAGTGAAGATGAAATATTTCCTCCTATTTCAATTCATTCTTCATCCATGTACATGTCAATACCTACTTGCTTTATAGCATATCAAAGATGAGTAGCAAAGGATTTACGTGATTTACGTGTATTATCACCTCTAAAACATAAGAATACATCATAACTATATTTCAGCTTTGGCTTCTCAGGACGGCTTCTTACTTGTTGCCGCAGCTAATCATGAACATAAAGCTTGTCATTCTTGACCTTTACAAGGTAATGCTTAATGAGTACAGGCATTCCTATTTCTAAGGGAAATCATGAGCCTTTTAACAACTGTGTGACATAGGTTTTACTCTGACCCACACAGAAACAAGCTATATTAAAGCACAAATCTTTCTCAGAATTAGTTAAAAATTTAATGCTAATGTGGAGTAATGGTAGTCCATCACAAGAAGTAATGATATTGGATGAAAGATGCTCAAAATAATCTATTGCACTACTACAGAATGAAGAATAAATGACAGGTCTTATTAAATTGTTATAATATTAACCGTCCAATATTTATACTTATTGAATGATTCTATTAATAACTGTTTAATATATCTACCATTCAATATATGTTTGAATATTTCAAATATTTGAAAATTCTTAAAATAAAAAAATATATTACATGATAATTATTAATAATTGTCTAATTATATCTCTTATATTGGAAGGTTAAAATGTTAACTATCCAATATACCTTTTATATCAGACCCCCACCCTCAAATCAAACATTCATTTTTTGTGTTCATTGTCTCCTCATATCTCTTCTCTTCCTCTCCCATTTCTTCACCACTGACAACCTTCACCATTGTTTTGCTGTGTTTTGAAACACCGTGAGCACTCATCTTTAGTCATCAACTTTATGGGTCTGCTCCTCTCCTCCATTAGGTGTTCATGCATCATTATGTAATTGTTGTGTTTTCTCTTCTTCTCATTTCCTTTGAATCTCTTTATCTGAAATGATTCAACCTGGATAACTTAAAAATGCTTGTTAAACTAATAATATATGATTAGATGAGAGTTATATTTAATTTTTATTTTTATCTAAATCTATATTCTTTTTTTTTTGTATTTTTTGTTTGAACAACATTCAACTAGTTTGATTGAAAATTTTTTATCATTTGATTTTTTGATTAATGGTTGAGCTGTATATGAAATTTTATAGTGATTGAAATTGTGTACGGGTTGTATATTGCGGAGATGTTATTTCTAGTACTTTATATACAAGGGTGAGTTTAGTGGTATTCTAATGAATTTAATTTATCTTGTCATTCTAAATTTATGACATATGCTTTCAAATTGTTTTAGGAGCCACTAGATGTTGATTCGGATTATGTCGGGTGCTGTTAAAACTACAAGGTTTTACTACCTGAATTCTACTAATGTGCAGCTGGATAATAGATCAAACATGATGAAATTATTTAATTTGTTTGTTTATATTTTAATTAATATTTTTATATTTTTTTCATTTTGAATTTTCAATTTCAACTTATTTTCTTTCTCATCAAGGCTATAGTGCTTTATCGCATCCAAAAAAACTTGCCTGTAGCATTAAAGTACAAGTCATATAATCTAACTTACTTTAGTTTGAAGATAATAAAGGTACTTATCATTACTAATTTTAACAATCAATACTAATTTTTTAATTAATTCAATAACATGTTAATTTAAAATCCTAAATCCCTAAAAGAAAGATAATATCTAAATTAAAACTTTAAAATAATTGTGAGTTAAAAATTTTAAAAAAAGACTACCCAGAGCAATTCTAGATAATTAATTTCTAAAATTTTTAAAATTTTAATATTGAATTGAACTATAAGATTAAGTATATATGATTCAAATTGATAATAAAATAGATTTAATATTTTTTATAATTTTTATTTTAATGATTATGAAATAAAAATAAAAGTAAAAATTGTTAATCTGAACCATTCAGAATCTCGACGGTTCAGATTTCTTATCATGGCCGTTCCCCTGTGTTAATTGACTGACTCCCGTTCCAAACGTACAAGACTTTCTTGTGAAAAAAGAAAAGCCTTTAAAGTTTAAACGCTTTAGCTTTACTTTCCTGGGCAGCTTCGTGAATACTTTCACTAGAGCCTTCATCACATGATTCACATCCTCATTTCTCCGGAAAATTCTCATGGAGCGAGATTTAAAAGCAGCAAAAGCCTCGTATCTCTCAATCTTATTCTGATCGATGCGATAGATAAATAAGATCAATCTCTCATCGATCACCCCAGCTTGACAGGTAACTTCCCATCTAATCTCGATCTGACCCTAAACAACTAATCTGCTTTCATCTTTCTATTTGATCTGTTCCTGATCCAGTCTTTGATCGATCACTTGTTGAGTTTTAACGAAACGACGCTGTTTTAATTTCAACGGATTCTTTGGTTTTTCTTATTTTAAAATTCATCGGAGAAAGGAGAGCATATATCACCGATTCTTCTGGAAAATAATAGAGGAATCGGTGATTTCTATGACAGAGTTTTCAGTTTAACAAGGCAAAATGTAATTTGCTCTTTTCAAGTTTTGAAGTCAAGTAAAAGTAAGATGATTGAAATATGTATTTTCAAGTTTAACAAGGCAAAATGTAATTTGCTCTTTTCAGATGATTGAAATATGTATTTTGAAATTAGATTTGATTGGTTGATGATTGTATAACCCCCAACTCTCATTTGCGGGCATAAAGGTTGAAACGGTCGCAGTCTCCGATGACAAAAGGATGGACTTTTTTTCGGTACTGGTGCTGCTTCGGATGAGGATCATGATGTATGGCGTTGGGGGGAGGCAATTATAAGGTATTTAATCTTAACATTATATATTTAATATACTTTTATTCAACCACATTAAAATATAATTATTTTAATATATTAATAATATTAATAATAAAAATTTATTATAGAATAAATGATCATAGATTACACTTATGTCTTGATTTAATTAGAAATAAAAAAATATAATATATTTTTAATTAAATTTTACTTCTAATAAAATAATTACCTACTTTTCAATTAACTTTATCTTTATTAAACATCTTACAATAAATATAAAGTTATTATTAATAAAAATATTTTTAAAAAAAATAATGATTTGGTCAGATTTGGTTAGAGGCACTTTCGAAGTATTTTCTCTTAACCTTATATATTTAATATATTTTTATTCAATTACATTAAAATATAATTATTTTAATATGTTAATAACATTAATAATAAAAATTTATTATAAAATAAATAATAATAAATTATACACATATCTTGAGTTAATTAAAAACAAGTATATTGAGTATACTTAATATATTTTGCCAAGATTTTGTTAAAAACATATTATCAAATATTTTTTATTTTTTATTTTAAAAATAAAAAATTGTTCATAAAATAAGTTTTTAAACAAGCTCATGCATATTTGGTTAAAAAAGAGAGAGACATATAGTTATAATAGATTGAATAATATAAAATGTTATGAAAAGATAAATTTATGATAGTTAAATATAAAAAATTAAAATCGAGTCATAATGATTGATCATCTAACATTTAAATCATAAATTTATTACAAATCATTCATTTACATGCAATAAAATTTTAAGAATGTATTTGAATTTCAGTTGATTATAATTAATTATAAAAATATTTAATTAATATAATTTATTTTAATTATAATTGATTATATTATAATACAATCTGTTTTGATATTATTTTTTTAAAATTAATTTTAAAAAATTAAAGATGTTTGAATAATTTAATTAAAATTAATTTTAACTGTACAAATCACTATAAAAAACATTGTTTTTAAAAATTAAATTAGTAATAAATTTATATCTAATATTATTAAATTTGTTAAATGTTATTTAAGAAGTAAAATATATCATTTAAATTATATATTTGATTAAAAATATAATAGCGATCCATTTAATATTTATATAATTACTTAACATACAATTATATACTAATTAATTACAAATTTAAATTATATTTTAAGGTAATATTAATAACTTAATTTGTGGAAAAAATATATATAACTTGGTAAGGGAGAGAGAGGTGGAGGTGCAGTGAGGCAGGAGCACACAAGAAACACCAATGACAATAGAGAGAGGATATAAGCAAGGGGCATTCGAGAGGGGTATATTTGGTGAGTCAACATTCCGACAAACAATAAATACTGGTAATTGTAAAAATTAAAATTGATAAGCAAGTGCTGCCAACTTCAAGTAAAATGTGATTATATCGTAAATAATTGATTATGTAGAAATGGAGGTGTTTGGGTGTTTTTTCCCAAACCATGATTTTAGCCAAAATAATCGATTCTTTGAAATTTGAGTCACTTGAAATTGTTTAAGCCACAATAATGAGACACGTGGTTCAAATAATTAGAGTCTTATTTACACAAACATAAAGGGTTGGTTTAGAGTTAATTAAGTGAAATTAACAATTCAAAATTATGTAACTCATGCTTTCCAGTTCACAAAAGTCATTACTCAAATATATATTGTTATATTTAGATACATATGAATATGAATTTAAGTCAAATCTCGTTTGGGCATTTTAAAATTTATGGATTTAGATTTACTTGTGTGTATATGAATTTAAAATACATGGATTTTAAATTTGAGATTTGAAATCTAAGATTTTAAATTCAAATTTAATCCAAATACTATCTTACATAAATCTTTCATCATTTCTTCCTTATCACTTGTAACTAATAAGTTATAATAACAAGACCCATCTATATGACTAAACTTTTCCAACCTTGCTAATGGAGATATGTAGCCTGACTAGAAACAAGAAACTTGCCAGTTACTACTAAGCCGTCCATTTGTTTTTTCTCTTTTCAAACCTTTCATAGAGGTGTTATGTGTGCCAAGAGCTCCTTACAATCTTGGCCAAAGGAAAAAGAGATATCAAGGCTTTAAGAATGGCCAACCGTTAGGCACGTAGCAGTGGCATAGCATATGGCAAAAATAATCAACATATATTCACTACATCCAACAACTCAGTCCCATTCAACAACAATTCAACATCATAGCCCATTTACGTGATTGAATCATGATAAATCTTTTTCAATTAACATGCATATAGTTTTTCAGTTCTAAACTCCAGATCATTATTGAAGAGGCAAAATTCTCACTTAACAAAACTAGTTCACAAAACGAAATCAATCAAGTGGTTAGGTTATATGTCTAAATGTAAAATACATACATACATATTGCATAATACTAATGCACTATAAAAAAGATCAAACCAGAATGCCAGGCATGCATGGTAAGGTAGACGTAGTTACCTCTTCCCTAACTTATACAAGTCAATTTGTGGTCTCCACTCGCCCATGACAATGCAACAAAATTAATCTACTCAATCCGCATGGGGTTCATCAATAATAATATATTTAAAGGGACGATTAATAGAAGTTCTAATTATAATTTCTCCAATTATGTTGATCACCATTATCAGTCTCATTCCTTATTGTTTCTTCACTCAATCAATCCTCTATATTCCATTTAATTCATTTCCATGCATTAATTTACTCTAGAAATCCTCCAGTCCACCAAACAAATATTCTACATCGATTAGATGCTCTAGAATCTCCAAAAAAAAAAATTATAGATATTATTTAAACCAAGATTAATTCGTAAGAACCTCAAGAAATTCAAAATCCTAACTGCCTCCTCCAACAATTATCATTCAAACCTGGGTTCGAATTTAACACGAGCTTGAGGCCTCTCACAGCTAACAAGAGCCCTCCAAACACGCTACAGTCAACCAAATATAGAAATTAGGCGGGTTCTCAATTAGAACCTCCTCACAAATTTTACAAGGTAATAGGAAAAAATTTAAAGCTTTAGCGATAAGAGACAACTCTAAAGTACTCTAATCATGAATATGTAATTGTAAATCAAGAGTTAATATCCATTTTTGCCATTGAACTAATTTCGTAGGAACATTGACTGTCCTAAACTTTTTGTGTAATAGTGTCACCCTTGAAGTAATTTAATCATAATAATATTGCTTTGACTTTAAATGGGTAAACATTGATCATTAACTTTGCTAACATAATTTTATGTTAGGAGTAATATTATTATGATTTAATTACTTTAAGAGTAACATTAATATGATTTAATTATTTTAAGGAACTTAGTTTCAAGTCACAAGGTTAATGGTCAACATTTGCTCATTTAATGTCAAGGGTAATATTGCTAAGATTTATTGACTTTAAAGATGATATTGTTATAACAAGAAAGTTTAGGAGTGTTGTTGCGAAAATAGCTTAAAGGAAAAACTAGACATTAATCCTAAAATAAAACCAAAACCACTTATTTTTTTTGGGCAAAATCAAGCCAAAACCTTAGAGAGTAATAAACATATCAATGAATACATTGTTTTGAACTTATTCAATAACAATAGGATAAAATTGCAATTATAGTACTTACTTTTTGAAATTTAATACTCAATCCGTTTTAAATTATAAGACATTTTTTTGGCAAAATCATACATGCCAATAAAATTGATTAAACACATTTTATACAAAAATATAAACTTTTAAAAATAATAATGTCACCTTGACTTTAAATGGGTAAACATTGATCATTAACTTTGTTAGGAGTAATATTATTATGATTTAACTACTTTAAGAGTAACATTAATATGATTTAATTATTTTAAGGAACTTAGTTCTAAGTCACAAGGTTAATGGTTAACATTTGCTCATTTAATGTCAAGGGTAACATTGCTAAGATTTATTGACTTTAAAGATGATATTACTATAATAAAAAAGTTTAAGAGTGTTGTTGCGAAAATAGTTCAAAGGCAAAACTAGACATTAATCCTAAAATAAAACCAAAACCACTTTTTTTTTCGGGGCAAAATCAAGCCAAAACCTTAGAAAGTAATAAACATAATAATGAATACATTGTTTTGAACTTATTCAATAACAATAGAATAAAATTGCAATTATAGTATTTATTTTTTGAAATTTAATACTCCTTCTATTTCAAATTATAAAGCATTTTTTAGTAAAATCATACATGTCAATAAAATTCATTAAACACACTTTACAACTTTACTTTTTTAAAATAAAAATATAAACTTTTAAAAATAATAATGTGGCCTTGACTTTAAATGGGTAAACATTGTTCATTAACTTTGCTAACTCAAATTTTATGTTAGGAGTAATATTATTATGATTTAATTACGTTAAGAAACATTACTATGATTTAATTATTTTAAGGAACTTAGTTCTAAGTCACAAGGTTAATGGTCAACATTTGCTCATTTAATGTCAAGGGTAACATTGCTAAGATTTATTGACTTTAAAGATGATATTGCTATAATAGAAAAGTCTAGGAGTGTTGTTGCAAAAATAGTTTAAAGGAAAAACTAGACATTAATCCTAAAATAAAACCAAAACCACTTTTTTTTTTTTTGGGGCAAAATCAAGCCAAAACCTTAGAGAGTAATAAACATATCAATGAATACATTGTTTTGAACTTATTCAATAACAATAGGATAAAATTGCAATTATAGTACTTACTTCTTGAAATTTAATATTCCCTCCATTCTAAATCATAAAACACTTTTTGATAAAATCATACATATTAATAAAATTTATTAAACACACTTTACAACTTTACTTTTTTAAAATAAAAATATAAACTTTTAAAAATATTTTTTATTGAATATTTCATTTATAAAAAATATTAAAAAAAGATATATATGAGAGGTTAATATTAAAAAATATTATTAATAAAAATTTATTTTTTTAAAGTATTTTATATTTTAAAATATTAAATTTTTTTTCAAAGCATTTTATAATTTGGGAGGAGCGTTAATCTGATTTTGCCCCTTAAGTGGTTCATCTGGTAGGGCTCGGTATGACGTGTTTTTGAGCTTTAGAGGCGAAGACACTAGAGCGACTTTCACCTCACATCTCTACTCCTCTCTATCGAGCGCTGGAATTCATGTTTTCAAAGATGATGCGGTCCTTCCCAGAGGGAATCCTCTCTCAAGTGAATTGTCACGAGGAATTGAACTTTCCACAATTTCAATCATTATCTTCTCCAAAGAATATGCTGGTTCTAGATGGTGCCTTAACGAGCTCTCACAAATCATGGAGCTTCACAGGGCACAGGGTCGAGTTGTTCTGCCTGTGTTCTATGGGGTGGGTCCATCCGAAGTTCGTAATCAAATATCTGGTTTTGGAGAAGCATTTCGAGATTTAATACAACGAAGTTCACTCACAGAAGAAGAAGTGTTGAGGTGGAGAACAGCTCTCCGTGAAGTCGCGAGCATTGCAGGGTTTGTTGTGCTCAATTCCAGGTAATTTTTAAATATTTCTTTTTTTTATTTCTCTTCAATTTTGCTAAGCGTAAACAGACACGCACAATTGATTTCTAGCTACAATTTTCTCTTTTTAATCACTTGAAATTTTATATATGAGAATTTTTTGAAGAAATATCTAACAAATAAGAACGGTACGTTAGCAGAGAATAAGTCTTATATCGATACATCTAATCAATGTGCTGGAGTGGAGTTTGGACAAGCAGCTGAAAGTTTTGAAGTCAAAGCATGTGTGCATTATTAGTTGGCCAAAAATGTGTTCACTTCTTCTTCTTCAAAAAAAAAAAAAAAAAAAGAAGTATGGCAATTTCACAAGCACAAATGATGTTTTGTTCTGTCTTAAAATATTGCTCCGAATTTGGTCAAATTGACATGTCTGTTATTTTTATAATGCTGTAAATTATTCAAATTATGATAGTTTTATAGCCCCTGCAATTGTTTGCATGTTTTTTTTTTTGGGTTTAAAAATTGCACCTTGGAGGAAGGACTGATATTTAAGCAACAATTAAATTAAGGTATTGAGGATGCCATAATCTCTAACATGTTTTTAATACTTGAAAAATTACTCCTTTCTGGTTGTTCCCTATAAAATTTAGAGTGCATGTGGTGGTTGGTACATGGAAAAGTTATTTGGAAAATGGGAAAAAGTGAGGAAGTGTTTTTATTGTATTTGTTAGATGGCAAAGTGACTTTGTTGGAAATAAAGTTTTCCATGTTTATGGTAGAGTTTTCCCTTTCCCTTTTCCATTTTGTATCATACTAGCCTATAGCCTCAGTTTCACCCTTTAAGGAATCCAATTTTATGCCGGTTGAAACCTTTGCCAATTGTTGGCAAACTCATATTCCTTGTAGTGACAAGAGGGGAAAACTGAGGAATTATAGAGATTTGGGGTTCATAGTTAAGTGTGTGTTCATCTTCTCTATTTCTCTATTCTCATTTTCCCCACCAGTAATTTGTCAAGATCCTCTCACATTGTTGACTTGTGTAAAATGAAAATTTTCCGCTAGTAATGGTTGTTGCAGATAAGAGGAGATTGCAGTATGCTGTTTCCTTAAGTTCCTTTTTGGGGCCCACATTCCTTGGAGTTCAATTGTTTGTTTAAATGTTTGACGAGCCATGTCTTCTCATTCACCTTAATATTGTCTATGTTTTGTATGATGAATTTTCATTTGATATATTTCCATGATCCAGTGAAGTGGTGCAGGAGGACAAGACTTGCACTAATTAAACATTTCTTTTTGTGTTAGTATTTTATCTTTTTTGTTGTATAAGATTTCTTAGATTATCTGTTCTAGACTTGAATAACTCCATATATCCATACTTAATTTGTTTCTTATCTTGATAAATTGCATTTAATAGTTTTTATCAACAATTTGCATAATTTAGTCAAAATTAGTTGTATAACTTGTTTAATAACAGAACTCTGAATTTCACAGCGACAATGTTTTTACAAGTTGCACCACAAAAATCTCCATATTAGCTCCGATTATGAGAAACCATGTGAAATTGTTGATGAGGAATTGAAGATAAATGGATACTTGAACCTGAAGTGGGCCACCTGAATGTATAGTGAACATAACTTATAACTATATATGAGAGCCACTGGTTGAGGAGCAGGGCTGGCATTGCGAACATCTGGAATCTGGATGGAACATTAGAACTTGTAATTTCAGTCAAACTGGATTGGCTAATTTGAGTGAGTTTGAAATAATTTAAGACTTTTTCACAAAATAATACATTTTAGTAATTGGGGTATTTGGGACTGGCCCAAAAGAGACCCAAAAAATTCAGGCGGCTAAGCCCAAACAATACTCGAATGACACTTTAATTTTATTTAAAAAAGATATAAATATAATTATACTAAATATTAATTAATCTTTTAAATTTTAGTTCAATTTATACTCAGAAATTATATATTTGAGTACATTATTTCAGCTATTTTCTTAAGAAAATTAAATAATTTCACATTATTATATTTTTGTTATTTTTAATCTATAAAATACCTTAAAAATATTTCAACTGTATTTTAAAAAGTATATTTTATATTTTTAATAATAAAAATAATTAATTTAAATTAAAAATTAATTTTTAAAAAAATGAAAAGAAATTGACAAGATTTTAATGCCTAATCATGCCTCGAACAGGGTTGCCTTTAATAAAAAGATATCTATATGCAATCCAAAAAAATCCTTTGCTATCCTAAAAGGAATTAAATCTATTTTGCTCAAAACTAATCAAACTCATTCTAGATTATTAGAAATTATGTATCTAATGAGAAAATAGACATCTATGAGATAAAACTTGAATTTGCTTAACTGGCCATCAATGAACTTTGACCAGATATGAGCCAAGGCTTTTTGGTAAGGATCAAAAGGCAGTAAGGGACTTTAGAGGAAGATCACTTTTCTTGTGAGGATCAAAAGGCAAGCGACTCACATATAGGTTTTTCATTCTGAACCAGCATAGGAAACTAGCTTGTGAACTAGATTGTACTTTAGAAGATCACTTTCCTTTTTAACATATTCATGAAGGTATTCATATTTCACTCCTTTCAGTTTCAAAGCAATCTCCTCTGTGCTTACAAATGGGCTTCCTACAATTCCTAAGAGCTTCACCTGCACTCAAATAATCAAAGGGCTAATGATGAGTAGAAAAAGAAATTGATCTTGAGCATCTTCCTTCATTTTTCATTCGATTCTTAAATATATTTCTATGAACTTATTCTCATGCATCTGACTTTACAATGTATTATTAATGTGAATGGTCAAGGGAATTATGTTATGATCATTTATAAGTACATTATTATTCTTCTTTGAGATTTTAAGTTATTAATTTTTTTAAAGGCTTAAAGTGCTGCTGAAATGTTTTAGAACTTGTTTGCAAGAAGTGATTGATATTTTAAATTTTTGTTTGGGATAATATTACTTCACTATTAACTTTGACCAACGTTGACCATTAAATCTTTGTTTTTAGAGAAAATAATAGAGAGGTTCAAAAGAAGTAATTAATTTAAATTAAGTCTCAAGTGTTAAAATTCAAAAATTTGAAACTCAAACTTTTGATTTTACAATTTTTTTGTGATGAATTTGTAATTTGTATTCTAAATTTTAACAAGGAAAATAAATTTTGATTCTTCAACCATGTTAAAACTTAAAAAATAAATTATAAATTTATTATAACATTGCAAAATTAAAAAATTGAATTGTAAATTTTTAAAATTTGATATTTGGAACCTAACTTAAAACTCTCTGTCATTCTCCTATGTTTTTCATTTGACCCAACATCATACATGTCATTCTAGTAAGCCATTCTTCTTCACGGATTGATCGCCATTGGAGCATTGAGATCAGTAGGTCAAATTTTCTGGGGACGACTAAGAGTTGATTGAAAGACAAATTCTTAAGATAAATCCCACCATTTTGAATTCAATCACCACCTATTCCCATTTTTAACAACATTTCCGTGGTAGTCCAATGCTATTCATATATTGAAACATGGAAGAAAAAATACATCAGTTTCAGAAGTTATCTTCCATGGTTCTAAAAACACAGTTCAATAGATAGTCTTGTTGACATCAAAGCCAAAATACATTGAGTATCTATTTGATAAGTCTAGCACAAGTCTAACATTTACAAACAACGCATAAACAAGAAGGAAGATTTAAAGGGGGGAAGTTAACAAAAAAAAAAAAAGCGAAGCAAAGTTAAACAAAAACCTGGTGGTCATAGTTATAGCAAGCACAGAGAAGAATCTTCTGGTCCTTGACCTCTTCAGGATACAGAATGTTGTTGCTGAACTCAAAAGGTGAACAAAAAAAAGTGTGAAAATTGAAGCCTAATTAAGTTCAGTGCCGTAAAAGCATCGTAATGAGGAAGGTAAGGAAAACAGGTAGCAACCATTCACGGCAAAACATCATAGTACTCACAGACCAGGTTCTCTTCTACAATTGGACTAGCAAACTCCAACTTAACATCATCATCCTTATCTTTCCCAAATGGGTTTCAATCAAAATTATCATTTGGCTTTTTCTTTCCATTAGACCCACATGAGCTCTTAATTCTCTTCCTTCTTCACCTGAATACCCAGATTCTGAACAATTCCTTGCTGTTCGTTTCTCATCGGATATTCTGCCATGGGTTCCGCGGAGGTTGGCTTTCGTTGAATCTGTTAAGTTGTTGTTCTGTCGTTCAGTTAACAGTAGGGTCTGTAACTGGTGGCAAGAAGATCAGCAGATCATGGTTCAAGAGTAGGAAGCATTTAGTGGTGAACTGGTGGCGGCGGCGAAGGGCAAAGGGACAAAGAGGCAGAGAAGATCGATAAAACCAAAAATAAAGCAGAGACGAGAAAGATAATTAATATAACATCAAATCAAAGCCACCACATGCAAAGTTGGATCACAAATATATATTTAACTGTCAAATGGCAAAAATTAACTGTAAAAAATTATTGCACCTTTTATAAAATTACAGGAGAATATTACTTCAAGTAAAAGTTTCGAATATTCATGGCTCTTTACAGAAAAAATTTAAGGATATTTTTACTCTTTAATCTTTTTTTAAAATAAAAAAATTAAATTATCCTTTGAATATACTTGGTATAAGATCCTGCTTCTACAAAGGATCATTTGAATTCTTTCATCTAAAACAATCCAGCACCCAGAGACGTGCCCTGCAAAGGCATATTTGAGCAAGATCATAAGGAATGAATGTATAGTGCCATATTCAAAATTCAGATTTTTTTTTTCAAAATGGCCCTATAGTCATTACCTCAGAAATTATTGAATTCTCATGTTTCTAGTAAGGAACTGATTATGTCTATATTTAAAACTAAAGTACTTGTCAAAAAAAACATCATACGTCCAGCAAATTATGTACCAACATCTATTTTCATCAAAATTGCAGAATAGCTAATACTAAGTAAGCCTTTCCCCCAAGTTGGGGTATCCAACAAGGCTCCAAAGTCCCAAGTACGCAGGTGGCATCACAAGAACATGAATTGAGTATGGTTGATTAGACTAGTAAACTGATGAACCAGTTACTTAACCAATCTAGTCAAAAGTTTTGGATGGGTCAACATGTTGGATTTTCTATATTGTTTCCTCCTCTTATGAGCCTGAAATGATATTAATCATGATTGATCCTTAATGTTTAATTATGGTTTGGATCACAAACCCTTGCACTACCTTGACTAGTGTAATGACAGATCTAAATTCCAATATCTTGCACAAGAATAAAAAGATTAAACTAAGAAATAATATATTAAATCAAGACTCATAATTTATACACATTTGGATTTTAAAAATAGGCTATCCTCTTTCGGCATATCTCTAATGGGATTGACTGATTAGGCTTTTCTTGTTGATAAAGTAGACTACCATTTTAAAACTCATTAATGTTTTTGTCGATAGAGTTGTCTTCATATGATGCTTTGATTATTTGCTTCAATCTCTCCACCACCTGTGATATATGGTGAATTAGGTTATAATTACGAAAATGGTTGGAAAAGGGGGCAGTTTGGGAATTTACTAATATCTTTATAATATTTGTTGGAATAAATTCTCAGCTAGAGGGATAAAAGCTTTGGTAGCTAATTTGAGAAGAAAGGCTTCAGAGGCGTAGAAGTATAAGTTATCGCCAATTGTGCTCAAGCAATAAATCTTGTTACACGCAAAATGATTGAAGGACACCCATTGTGCTTGGTTATTATTGTCTAGCAATTGGTTTGTAAACACTAACTTTAAATATAGAGAGTTTATTAGTACTGTTAATGCTCTTGCCAAGCATGCCCACTCCTCAAAATTTGTATATATGATCGTGTCTTTAATTTTATTCTTTCTTGATTAGTAGGGATGGATGAAAGGAAACGATGTATTCTTGACAGTGGAGATATTATGTAATATATTATTATAATTTTATCACTTTTATTAAGAAAATAATGCCCAAACCTTAGTTTTGGCAGTGAAAAGCTCATTTAAAAACTGAGGAGCATGTTGAATTTGGCTAAAAAAAGCTTTTTAAAAAAAAATTCTGAAACAAATATATGTTAAGATTGAAGTAGTAAAAAATTCTAACTTCTTAAAAGAAATTTTGAGCCAAAACCTAGGTTATCAACTTATTTTAGCTTTTTAAAGTTTAATATTTTATAATTTATCAATTTATTTTAAATTTTTAGAATTTAATATTTTAATCAACAGAGGTTGGATCTAGTGGAAAGAACTAATCCCTTATAACTTAATAAACTAAGGTTCGAATCCCTGCTAGAAGAAGTGTTTTTATTTAATACCTGACCATACCTCAAACTCGATCATAAAAAAGGAATTTAACATTTTAAAATTTAGAGTAAAATACTCTAACTTCCCTTCTAATTTACCTTAATTACAAATACTTTTCTATTTTTGAAACATATACAAACCTCCCCTCATATGAATAGTTACAAAATACAAGCATCCTCTTTATTTTTAAAATTTCATTCTCATTCATCCAACCGTTAGTTGACTATTAAGTTGTATGTTGGACCAAAATATTCCTTTTTAAATATATATGTTGTCATCATTTAAATTAGGGAGAATGACAATTAGGTCTTAAAAGAATGAATTAAATACAGTTAGGTCCTCGACAAAATTTTCTATAAAATAAATTATAAATATCAATTTAAACACTCACAAATAGAAATTTTTGCTATAATCTAAAAGTTAAATTTGATATTTAAATACTTTTTTTACAATTAAAACTCCTAAATTTGTATTAATTTGGATTGATATTTTTAACTTATTTTTTAAAAAAATTTGTTGAAGACTTAATTGGTATTAATTCAATGTTTTGGGATCTAACTATCATTCTGCCTTTAAATTACCCCCATAAATTCATGCATGTATTTTTTTTTTACTTTTTTATTTATATTTTAAATTTTTATTTATATAAACGTATATATTTACTACTTTTTAAAAAATTCAAACATGTTAAAAAATATAATGAACTAACATTTTTGAATTATTTATTTAAATATTGGCATACTTAAATATTTAATTTTTTTTAAATTGGGAGAGAGGGTAGATAATTAGATAATAAGAGCAAATTAATAATTTTAATTTTTTAAATACTTACAATTAAAATCTTTAATGAAATATTCTTAATAGTGTTAAAAATTGGACTAAAGTATAAGTTTTGAAAACAAATCGAAAAGAGGTTTCAATAATTTTAACAAAATGGAAGAGATGTCACCGTATTTTACTCTAAAATTTATAAGTTTATTTTAGATTTTTAAAATTTACAATTTACAATCGATCAGTACATCTAAACTATCTTTTGAATTTTATTATTTAAATAAGTTTCTATTTGTTAAATTAAATTTTAAGGAAAAAAATACACAAACATAAATCACCCCATCCTAATTTCAGATTGCAAATTTCAATTTGTTCTAACTCCAGTGTTACAATTTTTAATCCAAATATACCATTGATCATGCTCAGAATAATGCCCTAGGAAATTAAGGGACCAGAATTCTCTCCTAGTAAGTTCCACATTTCCTCTCTTGCGCTCACAATCACAATGCACACATACAGAAATGTGGCGTACTCCCAGATTGCTTCAGTAATAAATTGATTTCTAATATTTTTTATCATCCCATCCATTTGTTCTTTTTGTATGGAGCACTGTAGAAAATACTAGAAGACCTAGATAGAGCTACATATTCTGTTCAGTTCCTATATATTTTACACGTGTATTTTCAGCACCATATGTTGAGCCAGCACATCTGACTGAAAACATAATAATTGCCTGAATTAGTGAGAATGGGACATTTTCCCCCTTTTTTAATGTCTTCAAGCAATTGATGCGCTTTTTTTTTAGTAGTGTTTAAGTAAGTTAGGTCTCAAAACTCAATTATTAAAGACAGGATATGTTTCTAAGTTTAAAGAGTATTTATAAAATATATGTAAGTTTGAATTCTCACTATAAAAAGTATTCACATCTAATATTTGACTGTACTTTAAAAAATAATTTTCTCTAATAAAAGAATATTTATAAGTAAATAAAAAAAACACAATAAAGCCTATCATTCATGTCAATTTTTATAAGGTTTCGCTAAATGAACTTGTTTATTCCCATGACTGGAAAGCCCCTTAATTGATAATATAAAGGCAGAGTTCATGGTTTAATTATTGATGTTGATATAATTAAAGAGAATCTTTTGATCTTGTATTGAAAAAAGAAGAAAGATAAAGTGCATCATTGCTTTGATTTACAGGTTTGGATGAATGAGTATTATAACTTTTTCCAATATTTTAATTTAATGTAAAAAAAGTCCCACACGGTTTTTTTTTTTTTTTCCTTTTTGTTGTTTAATGAAAGCAGGAGGAAGATGCATGGCATTTCCCTCTTCACTTTTGTATCCCGTTTTCCACATGACTGCATCAACCCATTACCTAAAATCTTCTTTCCATATGTATAGTTTTTTCTATGTAATTAGAAAGAAAATGTTTGTAGATTTCAATATGACCTAGCCACTAAAAAAGGATATTATTTTGAAATTAATATATATTACTTGTTTCGTTTAAGATTTGATAGATACCCTGTTTTAAAAATATAAGATATTTTTGTGTTTTTTTAAGAATAATTAATGATTTTCAGAAATTTTCTTAATTAATATTTAGAATTAATGATATTTTCATATTTATTTATGATTAAGTTACTCTGTTAAATATTTCATAAAAAGTTACCCTAATTAAATAAAAGCAGACATAAAAAAGATTATGTAATTTTTAATGATGTTAACTGTTTTTTAGAAATAAAATTTATTAAAAATATATTATACTCAATTGCTTCAAATTGGATGACACTTGTATAGGATAAAAACATTATACTCACTCTGTTCAAAATTATAAAATATTTTTAATAATTACAACCTAAATTAATTAATGGCATTTAAAATTAGGAAAAAATATATCTATGAGTCTTTGTAATATTATTCAATTTTAAATTAGAGCCTTGTAATTTATTTTGTTTTAATTAAACTTGTATAGTTTGATCAATTAAATTTTTTAATCTTTGAACTTAAAATCCTCAATTAAAAATTAATTTACACGTTCTAATAAGTTGATTAATGATATTTACAATTACACATTCTTTACATATTTATCTTTATTTAAAAGAAGCTCTCAATAAAAAATTATATTGATTAAACTCCATAATTAAAAATATTTTTTATAAAATCTGATTAATTATACTTGAAAGATTTAAAAAGTTTTATATTTTTAAAAAATGATATTTTAAAAAATTAAAATACTTTATAATATTGATTTGTTCTTTG